AAAAAAAAAAAAAACTGAGTTTATGTCTTGGTTCTTCTTCTTCCCAACTATGTAAGCCTGTTTCAGCTTCGGAAGGCTAGACTGATGAGATCTTTCTGTCTGAATGAAGGAGATCAGAATTAAGGAGGTGTCATACATGAAAGCATTTTATAAACACTAAATAAAGTGTTATCCAAATGTAAAATGTTACTATTATTGTGTTACCATTGTAACTACCTGGTCAGAGAAGCTTGAATTTCATGCTGCGTCTCCTATCTGCTTTGTAACACCTAGGCAATTCCACAATTAGAAGTGGCTATCCAAAAGACACTTTAGTTCTTTTTTTCCTTGAAAACAAATGAATCTGGAACCAATCTACCTTAGCCATCCAATATGTACAGCCTCTTTTGTTCATGAACAATCTTAAGGTAATAAACTTCTCTGCCCCTGTGACAGAGAAAAATGTTAGAAGGAAATGGGTTTCCATCTCAGGCTTCCAAGGTCCTATACCAAACAATAATAAGGGAAAAATTATTCAGCTAAATGCACCTGACGTGCATTGGCATCCAATATGCCACCCTCCTCACCAGGCATTATTACTTATATACCTGCCTGCGAGGAGGGCTGCTCGGAAGAGCTACTCTGCTTTTGTCAGACATACATTTTAGAGACTTTTAAATAAACTTATATAGCAATACCAAGCTGCATGCCTTCTAAACTTTGCTATTTCATCCGTCTATACCAAGTGCCGTGAAGCAGAATGGATGTGCCTTCAGCTTTCTACAGTCCTGGAAAATGAGCCAGTCCACTTAACAATAAATGGTGGTTGGTTCAAACACACATGACTGGTCTAGTGAAGAAGAAAAGAAAGTTGAGCTTAATGAAGTCCAGTGTCTGTGTCCCTGTGCACAGACAGGAAAGGACGAGTGTTTTATAACTGTTTATTGGAGTTAATGGTAATAAATTCCTCACTTGTGATGCATTAACTTTAATGTTTTCATTACTTGGTGATTTAGGTTTTCCCTTTTCACATTGTAAATCATGTTGTCCCAGTAGCAGAGCAGGTCGAGTGCCTGCCATAACGTTCATAATGTTCAGTGGGGAAAGAAATGTTCTCTTTCTCTCTCCTGCATGGTCTGACAAAAGATGCTTTGCCTCATCCTGATTTGCTACTTGCTAAATAAGCAATAAAGACAGACAGACAAACAGATGCATCCAACCACAGTGTAGCAGAATGTGGCAGAGCCTAGGTTAGCTCCAAGGTAAATATAGGTCTCTATAGTAACTTTCCAAATGTGTTTGGTACTGAAGCTTTTTCGTTTTCTTTTTTTCCCGTTTGCTGAGTGTGAGCCCCTAGTTAATGAGCTGTGCAAATAGATATTGAGATTTAGTGTTTTTATTTTACAATTACAGACTTGGTGATTTGATTGGAAAATTTTGGGTTTAGAAACATCACCTTCATTTTCTCCTCCTAATTCTTTTTCCTTGCAAAGTTTGACTTCAAACTTGCTTGAGTTTTGTCAGATGAAACAGAAGAAACTAGAAAGATTTAAATCTAGAATTTGTAACATCTTTTTTAAGGGAGGTTGATTTTTGCCTTAAAGGTAACTTATCATAGCCAACATCATTTTTCTGTCTTTGAGGTGGTGCTTCTGCACAGAGACACCCATGGAGCTGTCTGGGGGTGAGGTTTGGCTTGGGAGTGGCCCTTTGTCCAGGAGGTAATACATATCAGGTCAAAGCCACATTGTTAAGATCACTGCTTTCCCATCAAGTTCTTCTTCACGGGGTGTGAGAGTTCTCATTAGATCACCCACCCTGAAATACCCCCAGAGAATCACGATAATTAGTTCCTGAGTCTTCTTTTTTATTTTCTGCTGTGTTTGCTTTTAAAGTTTTCTCAATGCAGTACTCTGATGATATCTCAATGTCTTTTACTAGAGAGACATGGAGAAGGCAAAATTATTATCATCTGATCCCTCCTTACATCTTTTGCTTTGGATAGTAACTAAAATAGAGACGTCAGAGTCTGTCATACTAATCTCCATGTAGCCTTCACCATTAACAATATTAAATGCTCAGACACACCTAGGATGTTTGCTCACAGGATGCAAACCAATGTACATGTGAAAGTCCAAAAATAAAATGCCATTTCTCCAGGAGAGAAAAGAACAAGACTGAAGAAACACTGTCAGTGGCCAAATTCCCAGCCACTCAAAGTCTATAGCTCAGAAGTTGCTATCGATAGCTATTTCCTAAAGAGTAATCGGTTATTCATTTGGCTCAGTCTTTTGCCTGTTTATGGCTTCTTCTGAAACCTATTCTGGAGATAGATAAAGTCCAAGGCAAACAGAATTGGTATGCTAATCAGGCTATAAGATGGGACTCAGAAATTTATTTCTTGGCCAGGCACGGTAGCTCACACCTGTAATCCCAGCACTTTAGGAGGCTGAGGTGGAAGAATTGCTTAAGCTCAAGAGTTCAAGACCAGCCTGGGCAACATAACGAGACCCTGTCTCTACCAAAAATAAAAAATAAATTAGCCAAGTATGGTGGCGCACACCAAGTAGTCCAAGCTACTTGGGAGTCTAAGGGCAAGAGGATTGCTTGAACCCAGGAGATGGAGGCTACAGTGAGCCGTGATTGTACCACTGCACTTCAGTCTGGGTGTCACAGCAAGACCCTGTCTCAGAAAAGAAAAAGAGAGAGAAGAAAGAAAATAAAGAGGGAGGGAAAGAAGCAAGGAAGAGAGGGAGAGGGAGAGGGAGGGAGGGAAGGAGAGGAGGAAGGAAGGAAGGAAGGAAGGAAGGAAGGGAGGGAGGGAAGGAGGGAAGGAGGGAAGGAGGAAGGGAGGGAAATTTATTTTTCTCCAGTTGTGGTTTATGACATTTTATTCTAACTTTTTCTCCAAAATCCTTTTTGGTCCTCTTTCTTTCATTCTTGGTGCTGTCATACTTGCTAACTTCTGCACCCCCACTTCCTCTTGGTTCTCTTGGCAAAATCCTCCTTTCCTTATATCTTCTTGCTTTCTTGTTTTATATGATACCTACCCTAAGATTAAAGTTGAACAAAAATTACTGTTTGTGACTTAAGCAAAAATGGTTTGACTAACAAATATTCACTTTCATATTGCATTCCAGATCACAAGTCCTATTAGGCTAGAAGTGGTTTCAGTTCAGTTTAACAAACATTTATTGAGTACCTACTGGGTGTACGAGGCCCCTGGGGATACAAAGAGAAACAAGTACACAAATAGTGAATTGCACTGCCCTCTATGAAAGGGACCAGATTTCCTACTGGCAGCTTTTCTTTAGGCTTCCAGAAATTAAATAATTAGTACCACAATCCTTACATATATATATATATTTATATATATATATATATATATATTTAAGGGAAAGATCCTTCTTAATCCCACATCAGTTCAACAACTAATCAAAGAATGGGCTAGGGCCAGGCACAGTGGCTCACACCTGTAATCCCAGCACTTTGGGAGGCGGAGGCGGGTGGATCACCTGAGGTCAGCAGTTCGAGACCAGCCTGACCAACACAGTGAAACCCCATCTCTACTGAAAATACAAAAATTAGCTGGGCATGGCGGTAAGCACCTATAATCCCAGCTACTCGCGAGGCTGAGGCAGGAGAATTGCTTGAACCCAGGAGGCAGAGGTTGCAGTGAGCCGAGATCACGCCATTGCACTCCAGCCTGGGCAGCAAGAGCAAAACTCCAACTCAAAAGAAAAAAAAAAAAAAGAATGGCCCAATCTTGTGATGGGGCTCAGCTATTCCTATGCTCCAGTTCCTCCTCAATCTAATTCTTAATCTTCTTACCTACACAATTATGCAAACCTTGGCCCATCCCCTTAGGTGCACAGGTATGTGCACCAAAGAAGAATCTAATATGCAACTTGTTTCCCCATTTTAATCCAGATACTATAATGTTCTGTTCACTTAATTTCTTCCATGGTGTCATCTCTTTTCCTATGAATGCAAAATTATTTTTACCCTCCTCCCTACTGCCTTGTACCCAGGTCCACAACTACAGTTCTTTTCCCAGGAATAGCCCTTTTTCTATTTGCTCGTTCAAGGATTCTCACAGCTTTACATTGTTACTAAGGTCTTATGGAAACCGAAGCAAAGTGGCAAGAATGGAATGCATTGGGGAAAAGATTTAGGGTCCCTGGGAGCCAAGACTGTGCTATAAAAATGCGCTAGAAAATGCTATAAAAGCACAGAAGAGGAGTATATAATTTTACATGGGGAAATCAAAGATTCAAAGAGGATGTGACATTTGAATTGAAGGAGCACTCCCAATTCAACAGCTGGGAGTAGAGAGGAAGTTCCAAACCGGAAAAACAGAATACACAGAGACCTGGCAGTGTAAAGTACATGGTATGTTCCATAGGACAAAGTCCGTTTCTTATTGTTGCTAGAGTACTGGGAGGCGACAAAGGTGGGAGAAAATGAAACTGGAAGGTAGGAAGAGACCAAGGGCTTAAAGTTTTTACATGCTGGAGAGTTTCAGTTTCATCCTGTAGGTAATAAAGACCCATTATAGGATTTAAGCAGGAATGTGACATGATCTGTGTTTTAGAAAGACGACTTCTCGCCACAGTTTGGTGAACCAGTTAAAATATGATTCCAAACCCAGGCAAGGCTCTTTTCTTTTTATTTCCTTTTCTCTGTGTTCTTATCACAGCCCAGTGGCATAGTAAATAAATAGATCTGAAAATGACATTTCGTCATTCATTTTTAAAGATAGGCTCTCAAGTGATACATGTTTAATGTTGATCTGACTCAGAGGGAATACATTGATCTTGCAAGGTTTGTAAAAAGACAATTTGGCATTTTTAAATCCTCTTGTCCTTTTTAGAATCATGAGGCCATTTGAAGGATTGCTGCTTTAATTTGCATCCAGATTCCCACTTTGGTCTGTTGCTACTTATAGTGGCTTAGGTGCTAAAGAGACTTCTGGTCTTTTGTGGTTCTATATGAAGGATGGATTCTTAGGATAAAAATGAAGCTGAGGATGCTGGGTTACAGATATGTGTTATTGATAAAATCAAAAGACACATATGCTTAACCCACTACCACAGAACACTCATGGTTTTTAAGGAACACAATTTTTTTCAAGTAAATAAAGCACTGTGGAGATTCTTGATGCCATAATTATGATAGTACATCAGATTCGTTTCATCACTATAGTCTGTAGCATACATAGGATATGCTATAAGTTATTTTTAATTGAGTTTTCCCTGTAAGAAAGCATATCAGAATTCCATGAATGGTATTGTTGTAGAAAAACTTAAAACCTATTCTTATTCTAAAAGTAAATTATTGGGGAGAAATGTGAGATGTAGGTGATGGGGAAGAAGGCAGCAAATCACACTGCTATGTGTGTTCCTAGGCAACAATTTTGCATGTTCTTCACATGTACCCCAAAACCTAAAATGCAATAAAATAAATAAATGGGAAAAAAATAAAAATAAAAATTAAAAAAATAAAATAAAATAAATAAATGTACAAAGCCAAAAAAAAAAAAAGTAAATTATTCATAATCTCTGTCCTTTAACTGATCAAAGTACACTAATGTTTCATGATTGAGAAGCAGTGGATTATTATAGTTAGTCATTCTTTAAGATGAACTCCTGACACCTACCAGAAAGTATTGATTATTAACATTTATTTAGATGTTATCACTAGTGCATTGAAGTTACCATGCCTGGAGTTAGAAGGGCTTTTTCCTAACACTTTCATTTCTTATAAGTAAAATATCACTGAAAGTTAAGTTGTGGAAGAGAGTATCTCCCAAGACCACAGGTCTCTTAGACAATTAGCGTGTGCTGCCCCTTTGTAGGAATGAGAGGGTTCTTCATCCTCCATGAATACTCATGGTTTCTATAAATTACCTTGTGGCTTGGCATTATTGAGGGAATACTTTATAAAAAGAAACCAATTTGGATATTTGGCTTTAAAAATCTTTTTTTTTTTTTTTTTTTGAGCCAGAATCTTGCTCTGTTGCCTAGGCTGGTACAGTCTCAGCTCACTGCAACCTCCACCTTCCAGGCTCAAGCAGTCCTCTTGCCTCAGGCTTCCAAGTACCTGGGACTACAGGCATGTACCACCATGCCTGACTAATTTCTTTATTTTTAGTAGAGATAGGGTTTTGCCATGTTGGCCAGGCTGGTCTCAAACTCCTGGCCTCAAGTGACTCCTGCCTCAGCCTCCCAAAGTGCTGGGAAAAATCTTCTTCTTTTTCAAATCAAACCTTTTCCTTCAAGAGTAAATAAATCATGTCCAAGATTCCCGCATGAGCCCTACACTGGAACGGGGGTTCTTTTTCTAGATATCACCCTTGCCTTAGAAGAGGTCTTACAAACCTTGGTGACCAAGCATCCAAACAGCAATTTTTTTTTTTTTTTTTTTTGGAGACAGAGTCTTGCTCTGTCACCCAGGCTGGAGTGCAGTGGTACAATCTTAGCTCACTGCAACCTCTGCCTCCCAGGTTCAAGCAATTCTCTTGCTTCAGCCTCCTGAGTAGCTGGATTACAGGCACATGCCACCATGCCTGGCTAATGTTTCTGTATTTTTCGTAGAAACAGGGTTTCACCATGCTGGCCAGGCTGGTCTCAAACTCCTGACCTCATGATCCACCCACCTCAGCCTCCCAAACTGCTAGGATTACGAGCTTCTGGCTGTGTCCTCTTATAGTTTCTTTTCTTTTTTCTTTTTTTTTTTTTTT